TATCATCTGGTTTCCAAAAAAGGTTTGATCGAAGCCGGTTCGACGACAGAATCACCCTTCTACCGTTGTTCATGGCAAAATACAAGGTCCCTTGGATCATGAAATGGAACTACAAAGTTGAAACAGTACAAGTTTACCGTTCCCGGTGGGTTAAATGGTGGGACAAATTCGACTATGGAAAAATTATCAGTTTGGTCTCATCAGAATTTCCTATTATTCCTGTTCTAATGGTATCTCCAACACCAACAAAGGCATTGCCAGACATTCCAGAAAATACACAATCATTATCAGACATTAGTCCTTCATCCTCCATCAAAGGAAAAACTAAATCCTCCAAAACAACAAGTTCGAAGAAAAAAGAGAAATCCTCACAACTCATGGAATTAGCAGATAAGCTTATAACAGAAGTAGCCTTGCTGCACAAGGAAGAAGAAGATACAAAATCGCAAGACCCATTTGATATTTGAATTTTGAAAATGCACTAATTTGTAATCATTTCAGGGTTTTACCTATGTAAAATCGTACAGTAAAAGCCATGTGATTTATCACAGAAAGCCGCATCAGCAGTAGCATCAATCATTCCAAAAGGATACTACTTATAAATAGTAAAATCACTTTTTACTATTCATCCATCATATCAGTTAGCAGCAGCGTGAATCCACAGTGAAAGCATCATCATTCGCTAGCCTTTACAGCCTTTAGCACATGCAAGCTACAGAAAGCAGCAGGATTCGCGGCCTTAATCATCTTACTTCTCTCTACAAAAGAATAATTCAATTCCAGAAGAAGAGGACTTTTAGTCGCGAATAGCTGACACTTCTGCGAATTCTCTCAAGAATAGAAAACATTATTCAGCTTCACCACACATCTAGCTAAAATTATCACACACTTGTATTTATTTTCAATCAAGGATGCCTGCGAGCACCACTGTTTTCTTTATCAATTTTCAGTAAAAGAAATTGTAAGTTGGTTTCCATGAAATAAAATTATTTTCAAATCCATACTTGCATCATTAATTTTAATTCATTATTTTCATTATGAAGAATATTTTCATAACCACTGATTTTGAATGGCACAAAATTCTTACTCAGAGTCAATTTATTGAGTATCTCAAATACAAGGTAAATACCGATCAAGCTTTCGTTCAATTGCTTCTAGTAATATACAGCCTTTCGTATGATATATGCATTCCCAATGATCATAATGATTGTAGTCTTGATTGTTGTCCTCATAATTTATACCATCATCAGTAGATATACGCTCCGCCCCCATTTAGTATTAGAGTCAAGTGAGTGGTAATTGCATTAGCATCTTCTTAATCTACAAGTCAGGTTCATATTCAAACTTTCAATTTACAGTCTATCTTATCTGTCGGTTCTCATAGTCGTTTGTTCAATTCCCCAACCAAACAGTAAGGCGTGTTCCAAACAATAAGTCCCAGGAGAGGCATGAGCGGGAAAGGAGTTTAGCTAACGCACGAGGAAGGTGAATCAGTATAAGTTTTCTGTATTTTGCCTGTTTGTATTGTGAATTTCATGAGTAGATTATTTAGATCTAATTCAATAGCCAGCACTAGTTCTAGATCCAGTTTAGGTGCTATTCCAGATATTGTTAATGAAGAACAAAAACTTGATTTCCAAACTAATGAAAGTGTTGACTTTGGAGATTGGAATATCCCCAAGGCTTCAAGTAAAAATATTTACAAAAAGAAATGGTCAGTAGCCTCATTTAGAAGTTAACATCATGTTATGACACTTGAAAAAGCTTATGCTTTTAGTAAAGAACATGAAACTTGTCAATTGTTTTCACCTGAACAAATCAAATTGCATACGAAAAATGGTCAAAATTATATTCATATTGGTTTAGTCCAAATAGCAGTAAAACCTTTAACACGTAGAGGCCTTAACACCTCTATTTTGTTATGTCTCCGAGATGTTAGATTCACTAATTTTAGTGATAGTATACTTGGAATGATTGAATCCAGTCTTTACAATAGACCTATCCATTTTGATTGTTTTCCAGACCTTACCATAAGCCTTTTAGATCCTCATACGCTGAAAGCACTCATATTAAACATCAAAACTTCAGGATATCAAGTCTTGGAAGGAACACAACATTTGGTTTTAATTTATAGAGTTTATTACAAAGTCACTGGCACAAATATGAATTTCCAAGTTTTAACCAAAAGTCCTAGAGATCATACACTCCTAATCCAAACTAACCAAGAAAATGCAAACATTAAAGTCCCTAGAACCATTAGGTGGTCAGATATCAATCTACCCTCATATTGGTGTTTGATTAATGAAAGTCAGCCAGTAGCCATCCAAAACAGTCTAGTTAATATAGATAACATAGAACAATATTTTGATGGGATTGTCAAAATTAATTTTGATCGTCCAGCCAGAAGATCTTGTGAGTCTGTTCACTCACATAAATCTTTTACTCCTAGCAGAAATTCTTTTTCTGGATCCATACCAGCCCATAGGATGGGTCAAGATCAAGAGTTGATCAATTCATTAGCCAATAAAAAATTAAAAGCAATAGACACTAGCTCATCTGTTACTCAACAAGAATTAATCAATGATTTGATTAATATCAAATTAAAATCAGTAAAAACAACCTCTCAGGTTACACACCCAAGATACCAACCTCAAACCCAAGATCAAGGAGAACAAACTTCTCCTACTGAATCTGATTTTGACGCAGGTCAGGTTCACCATCAACTTTGAGTTTTAAACAAACCCTTCAAACCAAATAGAAAACGGCTCAATGCTGATATTGAAGCTGAATAAAACATTCCAAGAAGGAATATTTTCATAAATAAATATACTCAAGAAGAAAAATTAGAAATTTATAAAAAATGGAAAAATTTTATGGAAACATACAGATTTGAAGTATTTTTCTTCGATTATGTTGAAAAATACTATGAGTCTGAAAACAAACTAAAAGTAATAACTAAAGAAAATTGGCATAAAGAAGACAAGACTATTGTCTCTTCTAGTCATCCTCCACAAGAAACCATTCTTATCACCACTGCAAATACACAAGTTCCAACTACTCCTTTCAAGCTTCCTAAGGAAGAGGCAGGAGTCAAACCAGTCATTGAACAAAATAATTTCACTAATCAAAGTCTTCATTTCATCGGTAAACAACTTGATAAAATTGAAACTAAAATTGACAAACTCTCTCAGACAAAGTCATTAATTAGGGAAAAACCCCTGGTTAATTTCCCAGAGTCTTCTTCAACGGCAATAGCTTTAAAAACCATTTCCATAAGTCAAAAAATTGACCAAATGTTATTAGGATTAAAAAAGGAAAAAACAATTGAAACCATTTCGCAGTTCATGTTATATATATATATATATACAAGGAGGTGTTATTAGGACTCTAAAAATCTCATTCTACACTCCTCACAAGTGTATTTTTCTTTCCTAATATAGAAAGTTTAGAGTGTAGAATGAGATTTTTGGAGTGCTAATAACAATTCCACATATATATATCTCCACTTTAGGACAAGAATAAGGTATAAAAAGTTCTCATATAAAGACTTAAGTTTGGCAATACTCACAAGCACAAACGAAAACTAAAATCAAATAGATCCTTGAAATGTAAGTCGTGAATGAGTTCAAAGATCATAGAACCAATTAAGCCAAATCCTTAAAATATAGGGAATTAATCTTGGAGAACACACCTTGGGCCTCGTCTTTCAGTTACGTTTCACAGAACATTAAACCCATAATTGGTGAGAAACTCAAAGGGAATTTGAAAGGTTACTAGATTTAAAAAACAAATCCCCATACCAGTTTCTGATAAAAGCCGAAGGATCAGGAAGGATAAAGGAAATAACAAAAGCATCACTAACACTAGCTCATTATTCAGATATTATTTAGTATATTCATCACTAAGCAATATTATTGGCAGTGGTGAATGGTGACGGTATTCCTATTATAGTATTCTCATAATCCAAACTGTTTATTCTTTAGGTTCTCACTTATAGATCATTTTTGTAAAAATTCATTAAAATCAAAAATCATTTAACTATTAAACTTTTATTATTATTATTATGAACATTTCATTAGTTATCAACAACACAAAGTTTGTTCTTATTTTACTAGGATGCACTTAGATAATTAGACGGTTTGACTTAAGTAAACTTTTGTAGGAAAGATATTTTAGTATGACCTAAAACATCAGCGGTTCAAATAACGAGATAATGTATATATTATGGTTGAGTTGAGCATTTAGAATAGTTAAATCAAGTTGGGTAATGATAATTATTAGATGCTATATTATATGGTTTGAGGGTCAACCTGCTCATCTTAAATGCCGATTGTTATATGCCCCTCCCCCAAAAGAAGTCAAAAATGGAATTGTTGATCAAACTAGCTAGGAGACCCAGATAGGACTGAGTTCAATTTCAGTCATCGAGTTTTTGTTTCTGTAGCATTTGGAAAACTTACCAATGCATAGAAGAGTTAAATTTGGAGTCATTACAAAAATAAATACACACGCAAGCCGTATTGTCAAGAAATTGAACTGATGAAGTCCATGAAATTCTAGAACTTGTTCACAAGTTAAATGAACTCACCTTGACCAAAGCTTAAGCTAATATTATTGCAATATTCCAAGGATTTCATGCTTCATTAATGGTACATTTTCATCATTCAGTTTGTGGCTTCCTAAATTGGTTACTACATGTTAATTAAACTAAACCCCAAGCTAACTAGGGTTACTCCTTAGTTACCAGGGTTTAAACCATAGTACTAATTACGCTAATAAAGTCGATAATCATTGCTTTGATGATGTAAGCACAATAATAAAAATTTAGAAAAAAAATAAAGTATTATTAACACTAGCTAATAGTACCATTAAAGCAAGAAAATAATGAAGAGAGGAAGAAAAAAGAGGAGCTAAAGCACTTTCATTGGTCCCATACCATGTCTCCTCACTAGCTAGCCCCTTTGATGTGATCTCTTGTTCAATATTATTATTATTTTCTTTTTCTTCTCTCCCACTGTAAATTTGTTTTCTTCTCCTCCCAAATTCCTTTCTAGCTTCTCTCATACTCAAAGAAATACTAAAAAAACAAAACAAGGTTATCACTCGTCACGATGTTTACCAACAAAGGAAAAGATGTAGTGGAAGGATCGTCGTCTGCTTCTGCTACTGATCATCGGCAACAGAAGCAAGCTTCGCAGCCGGCTCCACTGAGCCGGTATGAATCGCAGAAGAGGCGAGATTGGAACACTTTTGGGCAGTACTTGAGAAACCAGAGGCCTCCAGTTGCTCTCTCACAGAGCAACTCCAACCATGTTCTTGATTTCCTCAGGTACTTGGACCAATTTGGAAAGACTAAGGTGCACTTACAAGGGTGTGTGTTTTTTGGGCAGCCTGAGCCTCCTGGCCCTTGCACCTGTCCGCTAAGACAAGCTTGGGGCAGCCTTGATGCACTGATCGGACGGCTGAGAGCTGCTTATGAAGAAAATGGTGGGTTGCCAGAAACAAACCCATTTGCAAGTGGAGCTATAAGAGTCTATCTGCGTGAAGTGAGGGACTCTCAAGCCAAAGCTCGGGGGATTCCGTACAAGAAGAAGAAAAAAAAGAGAAAACTAATGAAGGCAAATCTTGACAATAATCCCAACATCTCCCTGCAACAGTCTTGAATCTTGTTCGATCGCTCGCCTTTCTCCACAAAATGGTAAATCATATATGTTGCTATTTAATAGTAAAATCTATAGATGAATTACTTTTGATCTGACCATATATAACAACATAAAATTCAACTTCATGAATAATATTAAGGATAATTAAATATAACCAGCTAAAATTCTGGGTTTTTGTCAATTAATTTGAAGTTTTCAGTCCCTGATTGTTTGGATTGTAAAATTTCAGCCAATGTATAAGGTAAAGAGAAAATAAGTATGCTAAAGGACATAGATATGCATCTTCAAATGGTAGCAATCTTAATTCAGTATTCGTTCCAAAACCCTACGGCATGAATATTTTAAACCCTAATTTGCAGGGTAGCTAGCTAGTTGCTTTTATGTTAAGAGAAAAGACATAATAACAGTACCTTAGCAACTTTACCTTCCACATTTGAAACCCCACATATTGTTGAATACATTCCATATTTGTTTTTTTAATTTAAACATATCTTAATACACTCTGTTTACTTTCTTATAATATCTCACATCCTACACTCTCATCATATAACTTTCATTTCTACGTACACCCCACACTTTTCAAATTTTAAGGGCAAATACATAGGGTCATCAAAAAGTACCTTCGGTGTAAAGCTGAAGCTGGTGTGGTTTCGAAATATTTTTAATTTTTTTATTGGAGTGGTGCCAACAATTGTTTGATTATTTGCATGTGTTTATCCCTTCATGTTTCTCTATCCCTTCCATGGAAAGAGGTGGAAGGCTGTGGGTATTCCGTATCAGTAAATGAGGAAGATGATTTTTGAAACATTGGATGATGAAGATAAAAATCCAAAAAAATAAAAATATGGCAGCTATAGAAGTGTAGAGCTTTATATAGAGTAGAAGCAGTGGCATTGGGTAATGGGGATTAAATAAATATTAGGGTTGATGATGATGATTCCTCTTCTTTTCCTTTGATTGAATCATTGGAATGAATTTAGTTATTGAATCATTGAATTAGAGGAAGAGATTAGGTTGTTACTTTGCTTTTAAAATCAAGGGATTTTTGTGATCTAATGTAGATGAGGTTTATTAGGTGTGTGATTCTCATCATCAATCATATTTGTTTTAACATGTTTGTAGGTTTTTTTGGTAAAAACATGTTTGTAGTTTCATTAATTCTACAATGGAGGATGAGAGTGGTTTCGAGAGTTGAAGAAGATAAATAAACTTAGGATATACATGTGAAAAGTAATTTGGATTTTTTTTTTTAATAAAAAAACCTTATAAGATCGAAATTGTCATTACATATTAGGTATGTAAGTTATTTAATATTAAATTTTAATGATGGTGTATTCAACATATTGTGGAGTGCTAATAAAAAAACATTTTTTTTTCTTTTAAAAACATTTGAAACAAACCTTAGTATCTCTCTCTCGTGCAAAATTATGAATTTTTTTGTGGGTTTCAGAAAACATATAATATTGCATAATATGTTTTTGCTTTTTTGTATTCATGGTCCTTTTGGGATTCTGCACGATCTTGTGCCCGCCATGAATGAACATAAACTGTATATATCACTGTTGACATTCATATTTTTATGTGTACATATAAATTAAATATGGAATCCCCATTATATATGAATATATATATATATATATATATATATATATAAAATATGTTTTTTTGTCATAATCTTGATGCAATTTTAGGATGAGAGATCCCGATGGGGGCAGTGCGGAGGATAGACCAAATGCTTGCTTATCCATCTGCTGGCTGTTAATGACACATTAGCCATTAATTACTAAGATCTCATGTACCATTAGCACTAAATCTTTTCAAGCTGCACAAGATTTGTCTTGACCTGATTTAATAATTTATATTGCTTTTTCTTCCCTTCTTTATATTAACTATGATGGAATGTCCTTTTCTTGGTTAATTATTCAATAAACAATGAATTGACCTTTGCACTTAAATCAATTTGTCTTTTGTCGAAATCGGATCAAAGCTAGTGGTAACCTCTTAAGTTTTAACCTAAATGGCTTGATTAGTTTTCGGGAAAAAAAAACATATATAGTAGTCAGGGTTACAACTACTAGGTAGAACGGTAGATATGATTAAACATATTAATTCACAACATTCTTTTTGTCCAACACAAAATCAAAATTAATGTATTATATCATTTTATAAAGCATATCTAAATAATTATCAATACGCTAAGGAGATTTTCTCAAAAGTGGGACTTTTCATGTACTATTTGTAATCTCATGTTTATGTCACAATATTATAATGTTAACACGGAAATTAATGTTAAAATGTGAATTAGCAGAAAGTCCATAAAGAGTCATCCCTTGGGTACAATAGCTATTCAAATCAAAGAGAAAAAAAAATGGTGAGAAGATCAGGAATTTTTGCTTTCTTAGACTAGTATTCACTTTAAAGAGTCTCCTTAGCATTTCTCATAAATTTATCATAATGTAATGTCCTAATAAGAAGACATTTAGTTCCATCATACGAAAACAGGTTTAATTTCCCCACAAATATTTTGTTAAAATGCACTAATTCTTTGAATACTAATTTCAGAGGTGCCAACAAATGGACTTCCAGCCCAAATGCACCATGAAATAGCTTTGGATCTCCCCCTCTGGATACTGCAACATTCAACTTCCATGCCATCAAGTCCTTTTGTCTATTTTCTTTCGCACTTACTAATTATTTTATGAGAATTTGAAACATGAAGGCGGTGGTGCATGAAGCTGAATTGAGTTCAATTAGTAAGTTCCCTTTACACCTTCTTGGATTAATGAGTACAATTGTCTCAAAGATATATGCATGGTTAAGTACATTACCATGTAAAGTATGGGCTCTCTATTACTGCAAGAGTAGTATTATATCGTTCCTAATTTTGAATTATGTGCTACTTATGATCATCCACTGTCCACATTCGAATGCTAAATGAAAATTGAGCTTCTTGTTGGTTGAAAACATTGATTTCTTCTTCAAACTCTTATCAGATTGTGTGTCTCAATCATATTTCTTTTTGTTTACCATTAAGCCAGCGTCCTTTGTTTTTCTCTAGACATGTAGGGTTTCTCTATGTCAATTATATATACGTCCTTGCTTAATGAAAATTGAGGTATAGATTCATCAAGAAGACGGAGTTCTCTTCTAACTCATACCCTTTCGATCGGTGGATTCAGATAGGTGAAGAGTGCTTCTCGCTCTCTACTATTCCCCTTTAGTGCATTCCAACTTGTTTATCTAGCTGTGTATCTGTGTGGCCTCCTCACATGATCTAGGGATAGCCATCGGGTACCCAAAATAGCAAATGGGTATCTTGATACTTGTATTGAGTACTTCACCACGAGCCAAAGGAAGGTGTACCGGTGAGTCTGGTTCCACAATTAGTATTGACAACTGCCAAATCGGATACCTAGTAGATTGATGATGACTGGTTCCATTAGAGCATTGGTCATTGATGGCTGGTTCTCATCCTTGTGTGCATAATCCGTAAGATTTCTCCATAATTAAGGTGAGTGAGTAAGATTAATCTATCACTTACGGATATATATGCCGGCATATAAGTGAATCGATTGATTATTATTGGACTTAATAATGTTTAAACTAGTATTAAGCATTATGGAGGGAAAACTAAATAACTCAATTTCGAAATACGAGGAAGTTACAACCTCTTGGAAGGAGATAGAAACTGCTACCATGATAGGATGAGCAGTTTAGAATCTTATAAAGACATGTCTTGGCCTCTCTTCTCGGTTTAAAGTTGTTCGTTATGGGCTCGTTCTATTGAGAGCAGAACTTTGTCGAAACTAAGAGGAGAAGACCAAAGATCGAACTCAACCATCATGACTTTTTTCTACAAGTACGAAGTGATATCAATCTGGATAATTTATGATTAGATGTTCTAACTAATCGAGCGTGGTCTTATGAAGTTATTGATTTCGATAGTTATGCATATTATGCTTACATGATCATATTGAAGCAACATCAGTACATGAAGACCTCGGAGATGTTGATAGTGAGATGAATGACTTAAAGATGGAGGAATGCATCAATTCCTGCAACATGATTTATCTCAAATGCTTTGAAATTTTAGAGCATATGGTTTTCTGCATCATTGATAATTATAAAGTACTGAAGGACACAAGAATCTATGGTCAAAATTCAGTTATTTATAAGTACGCATCAAGATATAATTAGTTGCTAGAATAATGCTATTTGGATTTGACAATATTATTGACCACCTCTCTAATAAATACCCGCCCTGCTTATGTATATGGAACCCACTAATATTATTAAGGTCGTCAGCCAGGTGATTAGTAAATGAAGTCCAAATATCAGCACCTTTGATGAGTGATGAAATTGTACGGATTCTCCAACATTCACGAGTGAGGGGATTACTTAATATATCCCACCTTAGTGAGTAAATGTTATTAGGCCACCACTATTCTTCGAGTAAGAAGTTCGTAACTCCCACAAGCTTAAATTCACAACTTTCTTTGAGATGGTTGTTTTACAAACGAAGGAATGAACTCCAAGAGACCACTTAAGGAAAATGGTAGTTGTTTGATTTTCTTTTTCTTTTTCTTTTTTTTTTTTGACTAAATACTTAAAACCTCCAACCTGTACCGTTTGGTACGTGGGACGGGACGGAACGGAGTGGGACGAGGCATTCCGTTCCACGTTTGGTGCGTCTAAAACAGGTGGAACGCGCTGTTCCACAGGACTAGTTTTGGGTGATTTTTCGTTTCGCCTCATCCCCTTGGAACGACTTGTTTCACATCCGTGAAACACAAAATTATAACATCTTCGTCTCCTTCCTCCTTATTTCCATCCGAGGGCATCTTTGCTCCTCCGTTCCGTCCCGTCCCGTCCCATTATGTTCCATCTCGTCCCATCTGCATACCAAACGATACCAAACCTTTTTAAATATTCCAAACAAGTACCAAACCTATTAAAAACGTCACATTTGTTAAGCCTCAATTAAAAATCTGGTAAATTAATTAGGCTTTACTTTGTCTCCAAAATTAATAGAAGGCCATGAAAGCATATCTTCCACCAACTAATAGTCATCACCACCCTCATCAGGCCATCACCTCCAAACCCAACGCAAAACCACCAACTCCATCCAACAAGTCAAGCCTCTAACATCAAGAAGAGGTCATGAAAGTTGGTGAAATTGGATAAACTGTCATGATGCGGCCACCGTCATCTTTACCACCTACAAAGGAGAACTAGAAACTTTACGAGCCGAGAATCTGAGAATGAGGGAATCACATGAGCAGAAACAAGCTCCTTGAGATCCTATATGAATTCTTAACCATCTTATTTGTTAGAAGATTGCTCTCCTGATGTAATTTTAATTTGGGTCCATTTTCGATTCAATTTAATACCCATTTTGACACACCCCGATCCCAGTATCCTCCAAACACCAGGATGGGCATGTGTTGGCCGACACCCAAGGGTGACGAAAGTCATTCTAACCTACTTTATGCTAAGAACCTTTAAAACATGCATGCAATTTATGCTGGAAAGAATGAACGTAAATAAAACATGTAACTTTAATTATTAAAAATATATGAGAATGCACGAACATGTTCAGAGCATACAACTAATCAAGATACAGCGGAAGGAATATTATAAAAGGCATGATTACAAAGAAATGGGCCCTACACCGAGAGGACTCGAAGATATCAATACCGTAATGCCTCGACGCTAGGATCATATGTCTCGTTTCTAAGTCCTTAAGGTATCGTTTAGTATGCAGACGGGACGGGACGGGGACGGGACAGGACAGGAAGGGACGGAACGGAGAAGGAGCAAAGATGCCCTTGGATGGAAACAAGGAGGAAGAAGAAGGAGACGGAGAGGTTATAATTTTGTGTTCCACGGATGTGGAACGAGTTGTTCTAGGTGGTGAGGCGGAACGAAAATTCACCCAAAATTCGTCTCGTGAAACAGCGCGTTCCACCCTTTTTAGGCGCACCAAACGTGGGACGGAACGCTTCGTCCCACTCCATTCCGTCCCGTCTCGTCCCACGTACCAAACAATACCTAAGGGGGCGCAAAACAAAGCATGAGTGGACCAAAGTTTAATATACATAATTTTTTTTAAAAAAAAAAAAAACCCAATCTTTTCCGAAAATATTAACCCCCTGTTTCGAAAACACCATATAATACTACATAATAGGTTTTTCTGAAAACTCTAGCATGCAATGAAATGTTCTTAAATAATATAACCATGTATTTAAATAGTAGTATCGTAATTGCCCAAAGGCAAATCCATAGAATGCTCGTTAATCATAAAACAATGTTCTTAGATAGGGGTATCATAGTTGCCCAAAGGCAAATCCATCACCTGATGGTGAAGTTGTACGACATTGGGTTACGCCAGTGAAGAAATAAGTAGGTCCCATAACCCGAAGGTGAAGTTGTACGACATTGGGTTATGCCAGTGAAAAAGTACATAACACACCGACACTAGTCGTGACTAGTGAAGCTGTCCAACATTGGTTTTGCTAGTGAAACTAGGAGTATGTCATAAATATCTAATACGCGTAACATATCACACTGAATCCATCACCCGAAGGTGAAGCTGTACGACACTGGATTACGCCAGTGAAGAAATAGGTAGGCCTCATCACATTAAGGTGAAACTATATGACATTGGGTTATGCCAATGAAGAAAACATAGTACATATCACACCGACACTAGCCTGATACCGGGATCGAGGCATGTCACATTTGGTCATTGGATTCCATATTATATAGTCCATGTTTGAAATTTAGGTTTTGAGGCAACTAATATTAATGTTAACCATGACATATCTACTTGGTAGGTTTTGAATATAATATATGTTTGAAAATTTAATTGGGGCTTAATGGATGTGGCATCAATAGATTGGCTACTTGTTTGGAATGTTTAAAAAGGTTGAGACTGATTTGGAATGACACTAAATAGTTGTGGGGTTTTAGGTACTTAATCCTTTTTTTCATTAGGATTTTTTCCTAAATAATGACATGGCACATTGATGTGTCGATAATTTGAACAAATCCTAGCTCAAATTATGATCACATATATAATTAATAGTTCAAATATGATTCACAATCTAATAACACAATACGTCAAATTATACTAAAAGATATTTTTTTAAGTATCATCTAAATATTATGCTCCTAGCAAATATTCCTTTTGATTGGTGGTGATAAAATTTGATATGCATAAATAGGCCTTAGATATGGCATCTAATTAACCTGCTAATGGGATTTAGAACTAGCTAGGGAAACTCTAACAAATAGATCACCCAAACCTAAGTATTACATACCATGCATATTTGGACTTTGGATATGCAGTGTCTTGTCTTTCCAATGCGGGTTTACGTGGGAGTGTCTTTGCATGCAGTCACGGACTCAATAGTATGTAAACAGGCAGACTACAGGGTTGATTGCAGAACCTGTCAGCTCATCTCACATCACCACTTAGGTTGTAACCTAAAGTGAGAGTGGAAAATCTTTGCAGATCGCAACCTCACCATAATGTGCGTCGATCCAACGGGGAAATGGAAAGAGATCCCCTCCGGATCTTTTCCACAAAGACTACCGAAATGATTCAGACCTTTAAAATTTGATCTAACGATTAAAGTTATTATAACTTTTAAAAGGATTTCTGTTTTTAATTATTGGATCAAATTTTAAAAGTCCAAATTACTTGATCTGATAATCTTGGTGGAAGAAATCCGGAGAGGATTTATTTCTTGGAGAAATAATTTGGACCACAAAACCATCACACAACACATAGCTAGCTAGGGTTTTTGTAAATTAAAAAATAGTTTTGTACGTATAAAACAATATTATTGACTTGGTGATCCCTATATCAAGTTCAAAAGATCAACTCAATTATTTGTAAATCCACTGTCATTCATCCTAATGCACGAATAAGATAATCAGGGCTCCCCAAGTGGGAACATAA